GCATTTACGCTAATCTAGTATGATTCAGGGTTACTTTTTTTTAACCTGCCATGGCCAGATTATCTAAAGATGTGTGTATTGTGTGTACAATCTATAGAAAGAGAAATGTACATCAGGTCCGATCATCCGATTTTCACGTTTCGGTTTTTGGACTCGGTTCATGAACGTATTTGGTTTGGCTCCTGGAATGTGCAAAAAATGACTCCCGGGACTGTCTACAGGGAACACTCGCACATTCGCGGTGTATCAGGACAGCACGACTGGTCGTCATTAGCGCAGTAACAGTTGCATAAACGGGCGAAACCATTTCAAAGAAATGGGGATGTTTCGAAAATAAGCATTTACTCCAATATCAAAACAGCTACGGTAAAAATAAAAAGACGTGCATCATCCCGGACATAATGCAACACCACATGCGAAATTACACAGAAATGCGACGTACGGAAGAATGCGTTTTGGCTGCGAACATCTTCCAAAAAACTTGGCATCTCTTAACCATGGGCAAAAACATCTGGAACCACTTATAAAAACCACCCCGTATCTGCATGAACTTTTTTGAACCCCACTGCTATTCCAAACAACGCGTTTTTCTGGACCATTCCAATTCGCCTCGTAATTGTAGGGGTGCGTCTGCGATATTACATTGACCGCGAAAGCAGCAACGGCAAAAATACACATTCGTGCATCAACACGGGCATGCCCGCAGACGGCGTATAAAATTGCGTGCCGATTACACAAAGAGAACCCAGTGTTTTGACTGCGAACATGAAAAATCAGCCGATTACAACACTCCGTCCGGAGGTCCTGACCTCCTTCACGGAGTAACAAGCTTGTAAGGGAGGCTAACGTGTAGGCTTTGCCATAGAAAGGCAGTTTGTACAGCATCTTTTATCATTACTCACAGTCACAGAGCAACAAGAACAAAGCAACACCTGGCGAAAATCGCATTATGAGGTCCCAAGAAATACAACAATGTACACTGCAGCTGTAGGAGTGGGCTTGTGGTATGCGGCAGGGTGAATGCCATTCGTGGGCAGGTTTGCCGTGTGATGGGCAGTCTGCTGAATTATGCTGACCTGACCTACTTCGAGGGAAATGAAGGCTATTACACGACAAACTCTGCGTCTCCCGTCACACCTGTTCAAATATGTAGGTTGAAAGTTCCACATGTGATGAAGTTTCCCAAAGTTTTCAAAATCAGTAAACATGGAACACCTCGGGAAAGAAACACCCCAACACTTTCATAGTACAGCACCAATACAGCAATCTATAGCAATTTACCCAGATCATCCTGAACAGCTCAGAAGATTACTACTGGTACTGTCGATCTGCTTGCTGCTGCAGCTCCAAAATCAATCACTTACATTAGGCAATGCCAAGTCAAAGCATCTCACAAAACAAAACTCTTACCCTGCTACTAACAGGTGTAAGTATCTGCAGGTACACAAGGTGCTTCCCCTCGGAATTGTCACAAGGTAGAGGCAAAAGGTCCTACACAGCCTTGGAACCTTCGCACACCAGTACCTCCAATCTCTTACAAATGCGATGCAATCTGGCTCAGGAAGTGTCCGAGAGTTAACGGTCCCTGCTACCTGTTGCCTGCGACTTCACTTCGCTAATGTTCCTCCCTGCACTTGTTTTCCCCACCAGAGCCGGTGTTGGTATTGACTGTCAACAGCCAGCTTTCCATACTTCCGCAATCCATGCGTCAGCGAGCATGCGGTCATCTGCGGACAAGCCGCGTACCTACAAAAGGCTCCATACAGATGAGCTGAGCGCATAACAGTTTAGTGTTACCTTGACCCTACCCTTGGCACCATGTGGACTGAAGAGATTTAGACTAAAATGGTAGAGGAAAACATTTCTTTTGAAGACTGGAGCCAAATCCTTGCCCTTTGCAGGATCAGAGTGGCAGAGAAAACACCTCTTTGCACTGTTCTACAGCATCTCCTTTGTGAAAATGTCCAAACTTCCAGCTCTCACGTTTCAGCATCCAAGTTCAAACAATAACAAATCGGTGGGTGGCACGTCAGAGAGAGGACAGGCTCACAATGCAAATTTTGCTACAAAAGGCAAGGGCAACAAAGCCGTCATTGATGCTTTGTTTTAGGGGCATGAATTGCTACACTGCCTGTGGTATCGGAGAGGGGCACTGGAGAGTAGGGCCAAAAATAGTCAATTTAACCTTCAGTCTACGTCACAAGAAGTGCTTACAAAACTTTCCACTTCCTAACATTAAACAAGCGCGAGTCACCTGATCGCCAAACCCTCAGTATGGGCGCTACAAATACTCACTGCAAGTTAGCCACAACAAGCAAAGGTTAAGATACCTTTTCACCAGCAATTACCCAGCAGCGCCAGCCAAAATTAGGTCACATGCTCACATGTTCTCTCCCCAAAAGCACATGCGGTTATCTTAGGTAACTAGTTAAATGGTCTGGAAGCACAAACAATGAGATGAAAAAGCAACACCTGTTTTTGCGGAGCCCCCTGCCCACACAACTTACACCTGTAGACTTCTCAGCAAGACTAGTCTCTCATCATCATGTCTATTAATAGAATCAATTACGCCAAGGAAACTAGGGAGTAAGGGCTTTTGGACCTGAGAAAAATGATGGACTGACTTATCTATTAATTAAAATTATCTACGTTCCAGACTTTTACGGGGGCTGTAAATTACGTGGTCGTATTTCACCTGTGAAGGCAGGTGGGACAAAGTTATCGGGTTACCAGGTACACCCCACAAAATTAATGCCTCCAGGTCAGTGCCAAAGTTCACGTCATCAAAAACACTTGACAGCGCTCACAAGTGGAGTGGGGGCCTGCCTGGTCAAAGAATGGGAAAGACTATCCATGTGTTTGTCAAGGGGAGCCCACCTAGCAAGAAAGGTGGGCATTACAGCAGGACTATAGGCCCTTGACAGCACCATGGCACTTTGCTACAACAAAAAATGCACCCCTCTTGCCTGGTCTCCCTGGGTCAACACTGTTCTATGGACCACTGCAAACTGGTACATAATGGTGTCTGACTGAGCTCTCCAGACAGGGCTTGATGTGATCCCTTGGCTAGGCCTGTAGTGTATACCTAGTGCCTGTACCTGTACCTGTAAAATTAGTTAGGTACAGGTCGGCACCTAAACATCTGGCATACTAATACCTGTATCTCAACAAAATAAACCACTAGTTGACACCATAGGATAGCTGTATTGCATATCAAATATGACAATTTTGCCCTTGAAATCAACTTGGAACTACTCCCTCATACAGAAGACAACAATTTACCACTAAAAAGACTGTTTGATACACATATAACTTACAGATTCACTTGTTAGAGTACAGGTCCAGGTCCAGGCCTGTAGCTAAATCCGTGCACCTGTACCTAGAATTTGTTTAGGCACACAGCTCTACCTGTGGCGTTAGACTAAGAGGCCAACTAT